CTAGATTTGCATAAAACAAAAGCCATAATTCTGTTACCATTTAGCATAGGCTAAGTCACATTTTGTTACCATTTAGCATAGGCTAAGTCACATTACTATAGGCTAAGTCACATTTTGGCAGAATGTGTTATATGAACCTAGTCTGCTGCAGAACTTTATGTTAACAAAATTTGGCTATTAGTCTTTGATATATAGCCTCTACATGATTTATGGAGATGGAAATAACTTGCTGATTTCTATGTCTGCAACACAGAACCCTTTTATATTGCTATAAATATGGTGGAGAATGGATGCAAACAGTGTTATTTTACTATATCCTAAATTATATATATAACTCGCTAACTTCTATAGTTCATGTAATAGAAGACTGAGGGATGAAATAGTCTACATTTTGGTTTCTCATGGGATATTGGTGCAGCATTTTTAATCTAGGTTTTTTTAAAAATATCAAGTACAGGTAGTTCTTGATTTACGACCACAATTGAGCCCCAAATTTCTTTCGCTAAATGCCACAGTTATGTGAATCACTGCAGTAGTTAAGTTAGTTAAGATTAAGTTAGGATGGATGGATGGATGGATGTACTATTTGTATCCACTGTCATTTACATTTATAATGTCAGTACCATGATTCAAATGACTCAATTTAATCGTTTTCTACTGGTAGTGATTTTATTTTCTGTTTTTCCCAATAAAATGCTTAGTATAGGAATACCAGAGAGAATTTACTTTTTTTTCCAAACCCCTCTTTTTTAGTTAATATATCAACAAAATAATTGAAAATAAAAGTAACATAAACAAATATTACAGAACAACCAATATGGAAAAATATGCATTTTAAATAGCAATCTTTAATATTTTTGTCCCAAAAGACCTTTTTTGGGTGATATCTTAATTTGTTTACTAAACCAGAGTGAGGAACAACAACCCTTAACTAAAATATTACTCAAGATTCTTTAGTGTTATATAAATTTGCCAGCCCATTGCCTTTTCCACACATTTAAAGTGTGAGAACCAAAGCAAATCTAATCTTCCATTATTTAGTTACATGGGAGCAATCAGGAAAAACTGAACTCTTATGTTCAAACATTTTATAACTCCTGGGGAAAATATGAAGTCATACTAGAATCAATTCTGAAAGATGTATTTATTTATAGATTTACAACCTGCCCAAATCAGACAGTGTAACTCTAGGCAGCGTACAATAAATCAAAAAAGAAAAACCATCTACATCAAAATCAACAATCATAAATATATCATGTAAAAAATGTACACAGTACACAGTAAAACTGACAGAGGGAATTCCCACTCAACCATCCCCTAATGCCACAGGGAAGGACCCAGTCTTTAGGGCTTTCCCAAAAGAATTGGGACCTGTTGTATATCGGCATGGTGGTGTTGGTTTTGGTGGAATAGATCATTCCAGACAACCACAGAAAAGGCACATTTCCTAGCTCCCATAAGATGATAAAATTTAAAAGATTGGAGTGTGCCCTTCCTGTGGGAATGTGTGATGCAGGCAGATGTCCTTCTGAAACAGTCCTGTTCAGAATAACATTTGGAAGGGACTTTTGAGGTCTTCTAGTCCAACTCCCTGCTCAAGCAAGTTTAAAGGTAATCACCAGCATCTTGTATCAGGAGCCAGTGCAGTTAATGGAGCAGGAGTGTTACATGGGCATAATATGATGTGCATAATTACCAACATTGTGTTGCAGATCAATTGAAGCTTCAGATGACATCACCATATAAAACATGTTGCAATAATGTAATTGTTCTGACTGAGCTTTAGCAGAAACAATAAACAGGCTCCTGGTCCCGAAAAATCCCTCTTTATTTAGCTACTGTGAATTATTGTCATTCGCACATGGAAAAGTCCAGGCAATAATCCTTCCAAGGGTTAAGTGAAGTATAGACCTTATCAGTTCCTTGGGATAAATGCCAACCCGAGAGCTTCCAGCCACAAAGCTGTAAATCCACACTGTATATTGGACATTAATACAATTGAGAAGTATTTCATGAGAAGAGTACTACACTCCTCTGCTCACAACAGAATACCCTATATCACCAGGCTTGAGATTTTGGGCTTGGACAACCTTGAACTTCTCAGCCGCACACAAAATTAACTGCTACAATGTCCTACCAGTCAATGACTACTTCAGCTTCAACCACAACAATACAAGAGCACACAACAGATACAAACTCAATGTAAACTGCTCCAAACTTGATTGCAGAAAGTATGACTTCAGCAACAGAGTGGTCAATGCCTGGAATGCACTACCTGACTCTGTTGTTACATCCTCTAACCTCCTTTAACCTCAAACTATCCACTATTGACCTCACCCCATTCCT